ATTTTTTTATTCACAATCTCCTCATCACAGGCAGGCACAGCACTCAATTCAGCATGTGTTCATGTTTGTGTGTGCTGTCTGCGTCACTCAGAGCACGTGCCTATATCGAACATTTTTTATATCGTTATCGAAGAAGGTGTACCGTCGATAAATATCGATACCGTTTTATCGCCCAGGCCTAATATATATATATACACACACACACATACATACATACATACATATACGTCCAAATTGTTAAACATACTTTTTGTATTCATGTTGGTTTTGGTTCTGAAAAACCTGACATGTTTTTAAACTGATATAACTAACAACTTCATTGAAAACCTCACATTTTTCTAAGAAATAATAATAAATGATTCTGCCAAACTACTTGAGGTTTTCTTTTTGAAGAACAGGATTAATTTAATCATTTTCTGATGCATTCTCATTTTTCATTCTGATAAACTCTTAAAAATATAGGTTCCAGAAGATGATTTTGACAAATATGACATAAAAGAACCATTCTGGGTTCCCCAAAGAACCTTTCAGTCAACAATGATTCTTAAAAGAATAATCTTTTTCCTTTTGTGCAATGGAAAGGTTCTATGAATGTTCAAATGTTCTTCGTATAACTACAGATGCCAGAACCTTTATTTTTTTAAAATGTATCAAGATTATGGACTTTGTGCCTCCAAAACACAAAACCTCAAAACAGGCTCATTCTAGAAGAGTTGTATTCAAGTCATTGTACTCATGAATTGCGTTTTAATATATTGCATTAATTAACGGAAAGAAAAATATGAAGAACATCAAGGCATTTACCCATGCACAACTGTCTGTCTTCATCGAACTATATGAAATGAAGGTGAAATTCCATCTAACCTGTGAGAAGGTAGGACTGGAGGTGGGTGAGCTTTCTGCCTTGGCATCTTTGACTGTGCTGTTGGACTGAGTGGAAGACCTGGTGACCAGACCAGGACTGAACACATCATCCATAGTGCTTACAGACGGAAGCGTGCTCTGGGCCCTCTCCCACCCTTCCTCTGAGGAGGACACGGGAGCAGGAGGTGTTGGGGTCACACTAATGGCCACAGGGGTCACGCTGATGGGAACCGGGGGAGGAGGGGCATGAGGTTTGGTGATTCTCTGCTGAACCGGCCGTGAGGGAGGCACATCCTCTGACTCCCTCGCCCCAGACTCTGACCTCAGGTACGACGGCAAAGGCTTCTCTCCTTTCTCCAGAGACTTGATCTGGCTGGGCGTCAGAGACTGAAACTCAGCCTTCTCGCCCTCTAGCCGCGAGCGTTCGGCGCTGATCTTCCAGAAGGACGACTCGTCAGTGCTGGGCAGCTTGGTGCTCTGAGAGGGCTTGGGTTTGGATTCGTTCACTGAGGAGGGAACGGTCGGTTCTGGAGCACCGGAGATGATGCTGAATTCCATCTGACTCTGTTGGGAAGGGACGGGCTGAATCACATTTGTTTGCTCTTTGCTAGCAAAATGAATATGTATTTTTAGCAGAGGTGTACGGTGGCCGAGAAGTGCAAAGCAAATCACAATTCTGAAAACAAAATAACAAATTACAAATGCAAATGCAAGTCTAAAAAACAAAATAACAATTCAGAAACACAACAACAATTCAGAAAACATTATAACAAGTCAGAAAACACAATGACAAATCAGACAAACCGGAAGAGGTAGGTACAGTTTGAGACAGCGCCATTGGTTTGGGATTAATCATTGGTTTGTTATTAATGTTATTTTGTTTTCAAATTTGTCATTGTGTTTTCTGACTTGTTATAATGTTTTCTGAATTGTTGTTGTGCTTTCTGAATTGTTATTTTGTTTTTTAGACTTGCATTTGCGTTTGTAATTTGTTATTTTGTTTTCAGAATTGTGATTTGCTCTGCACTTCACGGCCACCGTAGAGGTGGCCCACTTACCTTGGTCTCCCAGGAGAAGGGAGCGGAGTGCTCATCTTGCCATGTTAAGTCCTTGAAACAAAAGAGACTGAGATGTTAACAAGCCATAAGATGTGACAATACTCCTTTAATCTGCCATTTCTATTTCATTGAATAGGGATAAAAATACAGTAAGCCAGCCTATAACAAAATATAATAAATAATTTAAATTTAAAGATGGTGCACAGATTTGTTTAATAAGTGGTTCATAGATGCATCTTTCATAAACATTAACAATATATAGAATTCTAAGAGATTTGTTTGGAAAGCGCTTATTGATATTTGTTTGGCAAACTTTTTTCTTTTTTTTTTTTTTACTTTTTATCATCAGTTTGCAAGCCAGATAAACTGCATTGCAAAATTTAAACCAGAATTTATAGAAGTGGCACAGATTTATTTAAAATATTGTATAAATATTTAGTAAACCGTTTCATTTATAGCTATTCGTTTAGTAAGCCGTTTAATTTAGAGAAATGTATTTATTGGAGCTTATTTACATTTATTTTGTTGACACTTAACATTGGTTTGGTAGCCTGTTTAACTGTAGATATTCAAAAAGGATTTTAGTAAAGTTTAAATTTGAGATATAATCGACAGATATGTTTAGTAAACCGTTTAAAGTACAGACATTTTAAATATCTGACAATAGCGGTTTACTAAAATGTGAGAGATTTTAAGTATTAAATTATAAATAGTTGATAGAGATTTAAGTAAACAGTTTAACAAATAGGACAGAAGTTTAACAAGTGAAAACATGTAACTTAAATTTGACTATTGTTGAAGATAACACTTTAATATATATATTTAACTTTTTAGCAGCTGGTTTAATAACATTTTTGTTTAGTAAACTATTTTATTTAGACCTCCATATTTGGCACATTAACAAATAGGCTAGGCATAATATTATGTAAAGGTAGAAAATCAATTCAATGTAAAGAATAGTAAAAGAAACACAAGTAAAAACATGAATCAAATAGCAGACAGAAGGTTAGTTTTTATTTGTTCACATCATAATGTAATTGTTTTGTATAGACAAGCCTGAGATAATCAAAACAACAAGTCTACAACGAAATAGCAACAACAGCTCTAAATGAACACCTGACGATCCAAACATAAGCACCTCGTCTCCGAAGTGCACGGTCTTCTGTCCGGTCTGGAGCAGTAGTTTCGGGAAGCAGATCAGCTCTTCTCGCTCCACCCGGTGCATCGCGTACCGAGCCCGGATCCGCGGGTCCAGCATCCCGTTGTCTATCGCCGTGTCCTGTTCGACCGGACTCATCTGATCCCAAGTCAGACCGTGCCTCTCCTTTATCTTCTCCCTTTCCTCCATAATCTTACGAGCCATAGAGTTGATGGAGGAGAAATATTCCAGCTTTTTGGCCTCCGTGAGGAGCAGGTGATCCGCCATTTTTCTCAACAGCTGGACACCGAGCGCCGACGTGCCCAAAAGACTTTTATTCTGACACGCGTCATAACATGAAAACCACGCCCACCACGCAATCCAACGCTCTCCATTGACTTTATATTGCGGGAAACTGCCTCCTTGTCATTTCTGACTTATAACCAGTGCTTAATTTGTAAATGAATAATTGCCGGATCCAAAACATTAATAAAAATGCGCTGTGACCGACACTGGAAATACAACTTAAAGGTCCCCTGAAATGCTTAGAAACACCTTTAAGTTTTCCCGGAACATTCAATGACATCACTAAACGGTGATGCCAGTTATATAGAGAGCATCGTTCACAAGTTTCTGCATTAACCTAATTAGGGCACTGCTTCAAACCCTGGGTCAAAAATTGGTTGCCAGGATGATTTTAGGAAAATGCATACCTAAGATACATTAAAAATAACAACATTTGTTTTCATAAAAATACAATTCAATCATAGTATAAGCAGTGTTGGGGGTAACACGTTACAAGTAACGTGCGTTACGTAATAATATTACTTTTCTGAAGTAACTAGTAAAGTAACGCATTACTTTATAAATTTACACATGAATATTCGAGTTACTTTAAAAAAAAAAGTAACGCGAGTTACTTTTTTCAGTTTAATTAATTTGCTTTAAAAAAAATGTAATTACTTAATTAAAATGAACGTAATCACGTAGAATCACGCACTCAATGCGTGCGCGGGAGCAGACATAGTCAGAAACGGAGATGGCAGGTCAGAGCTTTACATTTCTGCGATGGAAGTATTCTAATTATTTTGAACTCGTCGAAGAAGTCGAAGAAAGGATTGTCGTTAAGTGTAGATTATGTGTAGGTGAAAAACTCTTGTCAACTGCAAAAAACACAAAAAACACTTTAAAAAAACATCTGCATGCAAAGCACAGCACAACAGAGATGGACGAGAAAGAGCCGAATGATACCTGCACCCCGCCTCAAGCTAAACAACAAAAGCTTGATTTCAGTTCACCTTCACCAGGTAAAACAATTAGTTCGACTGAACTCAACAAATTGGTTGCTGCTTTTATTGTCGAGGAGATGCAGCCACTATCCACTGTGGAGGCGCCTACATTTCGTAATATCATAAGCAAAATCTCAGTGACAGGCAAAAGGACGGGGGGCGTGCTGCCCGATCGCAAAACCTTTACAAACTTTTTGGACAATGCATATATGGAAATGGAGACAGACCTAAAGAAAACTTTTGCCGACCTGGAATATGTTTCCACCACTGCAAATCTATGGACTGCTCAGAATAAAAGTTTTCTGGGCATTACTGTACACTGGATCGACCCTGCTAGTCTGCATCGCCAAAAAGCTGCAATCGCCTGCAGGCGATTTCGTGGGAGACACACGTACGATGCCATCGCAGCGGAGATAGAGCAAATTCACAGCTCATTTGCTCTTTGTGGTAAGATAACTGCCACTGTCACGGACAATGGCGCGAACTTTGTAAAGGCATTCAGAATGTTTCAAGCTGATGATGATGAAGCAGAGAATAATGAAGACGAGGTCATCTTTACAGCCTTGCACGAAGTCTTACGGGATGACAGTGAGACCAGCGAAAGGTATATTCTCCCTCCACATCACCGATGTGCATCCCACACCCTTACCCTTATATGCACGAACGACGTAGTTAAATTTTTGACGGCAGAGGAGTTGTGTGCGCTATGTGAACATGATGTTACTGTAGTTCTAGACTAAATGTGAATGTGCATTAATTCATCCCACTCACAAAAAACAGATTTAGTATTCATCAAAATGAATTAAAACAGTGAAATGCAAACTCAGAATATGACGCAAACCTGCAATAATTAAATATGTTAAATAACACAAATGTATCTAATCCCATTTTATTAACCAATATCTTTGCTGCTGACCTTTGATGATCCAGTTCAACCATACTAATAAGCAAAAATGACTTTAGAGAAACTAACAATTGTGCTTTGTTTTTTTATTGCTGAAGAGTGTTTCTTCTCCTGCGTTCTACTGTACAGACGTGAATTTACTTTTGCCTGAGGTTTATTCATTACACTTTTTGGTGTGAAAGGGCTTTTATATTTGCTATAAATAGAACTTCTTATATTAAAAACAATCAAGTCCTGCTTATATTTAAAAAGTAACGCAAAAGTAATATAACGCATTACTTTCCATAAAAAGTAACTAAGTAACGTAATTAGTTACTTTTTTTAGGGAGTAACGCAATATTGTAATGCATTACTTTTAAAAGTAACTTTCCCCAACACTGAAAATAACAATTCAGAAAGCACAACAACAATTCAGAAAACATTATAACAAGTCAGAAAACACAATGACAAATTCGAAAACAAAATAACAAGTCAGAAAACACAATGACAAATCCGAAAACAAATTAACAAGACAGAAAACACAACGACAAATCAGACAAACCGGAACTTTAAACGCTAACGGTTAATAACGAAAACCCTTCAAATGTACATTATACTGTTATGGGATGTTATGAGTAGAAGAAAATGCTCTCACAAAAAGCTGCGCAATCTAGATTGTACTGTAGTGCTGCTGCTTTAGATCAATCCTGGTCACTTAAGGTTTGTCTGTTGGTTTTCCAAATACGCTTTGCTTTCGACTAGAACCACCCGGTAAATATCAGCGAGAGAGAGAGATTGCGAGAGAAATAGCTGTCCAGTGCCTTTTTGAACCAATGCGTCTGCTAGTGGGATTCAAGAGTGGTTCCTCACAAGTGGTTGGTGCCATTCCAGTTGCTTTTTCCTTCTGTATGAAGCAGGAATAAAATACTGGTAAAACTGGAATCAGATTATTAGAGGATAAACTCCAGTGAAAGAGACGTTTTAGTTGGGAGGGTGATGTATGTTTGTGCAATGTTCTCTCTCTCTCTGTCTTCGATCCTCTCAATATTTCTGGCCTGTATATACTGTACGATACCTGTAGCTCACCTGGCTCTCCTTTCCCCATGTGACTGTGTTGTGCTCCTATAACATTACCATCATGTATGGATATCAATAACAAAGTGCTCATGTGAACACTGATGCAGTGCCTCTTGTCCTTTTTTCTAATTTATGTGTTTATGATAAGTGCGGTTTTAATGAGAGTTATCTTTTGATGATTATCATGTTTGCTCAATTGTTTTAATGATTGTTTGCCTTTTTCAAAACCCAGGTGCCACTTACTTTACACGCAGTGTTGGGGGTAACTCATTACAAGTAATGTGAGTTACGTAATCAGATTACTTTTTTTCAAGTAACTAGTAAAGTAACGCATTACTTTTTTAATTTACAAGAAAATATCTGAGTTACTTTTTCAAAAAAGTAACTCCAGTTACTTTGTTTTCCCATTTATTGACTGACAGGTCTCCTGTCCCCATATTGGGAGAAATCGGGAGTACAGAGGCGTTGTGTGCGCTGTGTGAACATGATGTTACTGTAGTTCTAGACTAAATGTGAATGTGCATTAATTCATCCCACTCACAAAAAACAGATTTAGTATTCATCAAAATGAATTAAAACAGTGAAATGCAAACTCAGAATATGACGCAAACCTGCAATAATTAAATATGTTAAATAACACAAATGTATCTAATCCCATTTTATTAACCAATATCTTTGCTGCTGACCTTTGCTGATCCAGTTCAACCATACTAATAAGCAAAAATGACTTTAGAGAAACTAACAATTGTGCTTTGTTTTTTTTATTGCTGAAGAGTGTTTCTTCTGCGTTCTACTGTACAGACGTGAATTTACTTTTGCTTGAGGTTTATTCATTACACTTTTTGGTGTGAAAGGGCTTTTATATTTGCTATAAATAGAACTTCTTATATTAAAAACAATCAAGTCCTGCTTATATTTAAAAAGTAACGCGAAAGTAACGCAAAAGTAATATAACGCATTACTTTCCATAAAAAGTAACTAAGTACCGTAATTAGTTACTTTTTTAGGGAGTAACGCAATATTGTAATGCATTACTTTTAAAAGTAACTTTCCCCAACACTGAGTATAAGTATAAATATGCAAAAAAATATCTGACTTAAATAAGTAACAGTTTTAATTAAACGTGCATCCTTGCTTTATTTTACAAAATCACAAATGTTTTGTTGTTATTGTGAGGTACAAAAATAAAAGGAAACACATTGTGCTTTCGAATTATGTCTTACTCTTATCTGTATGACCAAAAATTATGTATTTTATGTTTCAGCTGTTCGATCACGCCGGCGCCTCGCGCACACACACCCCACATATTCTAGCAATTCAGACTTACTTCACAGTCTGTTCATTATCAAAATAAAATAGCCAACCAAAAATATAAAGGTTACACTGGTCAATTTAAATAGTCCGTGGTATAACTGGCCCACTTAGTATGCCAAGCACATTTTTGCTCATGTGAAGATGATATTTCTGTCGATATACGAACGCGCGTGAAGTACAAAGCCTCTACATTATAAATAATAGTTTCATTCAAATACATCGCGAATATGGAAACATTTTGTGCCGAATAAGAGGTACGTGAGCCCAATTAACGCCTGGTACTTTCAGTTTCGCTTTGTTTTGGTTTATATATTTTTATTTCATTCTTGTTCTGTTCTGAATACCATTACATTTATATGATTTGTTTAGGAGTGAGCTATACTAACGTATAGCTATGTTTATCGTGTTTATAATATTTATACATTATAATAGTTCACTTTATTTGGTATTATTTCTGGTATTATTACACTCTCTCCAAACGTTCTGCTGCTCACAAAACATCAATGAGAGCGAGTTTGAAGAAAGCTGACTGGCCACGGTCAAAAATATGTTGAGGACCAATGCATAACCTCCAAATATGCGCTCGCTCTCATATGCACGCACGCACTGTCACGATCTAATGACGGATCCTTAAAAACAATTACCGGAACGAAAAATCCTAAATCTGACATTTACCGGAACAGGATCCGGCTCAAATTAAGCACTGCTTATAACAAAGTCTGACTTATAACATGAATTTTGACATTTTCAATGATTCTGAAC